TGGTAACGTAACTTTGGTATCCCCACATGTCGCTTCCAAATACTCAGCTGCTCGTGTAAGAGTTGTTGCGATATTTGCGTTGAATTCATACGCCACACATAACCGAGCCACCTCAGGTGTCTCAGTGAAAGTATGCAGTCCGATGCATACATCCCACTTTGTCGCAACACTTCGTGTCAGCAACTCTGTCGCCCCAACCGATGCGCAAAATCCGTCGCAGACACTGCTGATGGAACCACCCGACGGTACATCGTCCACGTTTCATTGCCGTATAGAAGAACAGACAGCATTATGTATTTGTACACCATCAGCTTCGTGCCAATGGTAAGCTGATGGCTGTTCCACACTCGGTACTCAAACTTCGCGAATGCCGCCGCTGCCTTCGACACGCGGATACGCAGCTCACTCTGTAGCTGCTGATCAGTCGACATCACACTCCCAAGGTGGCAGAAGCGGGAGGTGGTTTCCAATACTTCAGCACCAATGCTGATTCTTGGCGCTATTGTAGATTACACCTCTGGTGAAGGTTGAAAGAGACAGACAGTTTTGCTTGTGTTGATGGTGAGCCCGAATTCGGCCGCTGTCGAAGCCAGAGCACTACTTATGTGCTGCAACTCATCCGCGCTGTGTGCAAACAACGTACAGTAGTCAACGAACAGCAACGTACAGATAGTTGTCTTACAGACTAGAGTTCTCGCACCGAAACGACGGATGTTCAGCAACCCACCAACGGTGCTCCACACGAACACCGTAAGCACAAGCGGCATCAAAACCACATGACATCATTGCATGAAGATATATATTAAACAGGGCAGGAGCCAAGATACAGCCTTGCTTCACACCGGAGACAACTGCAAAGTCATCCGAGGTCTCTCCACTCAGCTGCACTTTCGCTCGCATACCACTGTGCAGACATTCAATTAAACTTACAAACTTACGCTGGCAACCAAACTTACCCAACACCAGCCACAGCGCCTCGCGGTTCACCGTATCAAATGCCTTGGTGAAATCAACAAAAGGCGAGTACAATGACTGGTGTCGTTCTCTGCACTTCTCCTGCAACTGACGAGCAGCAAACACCATGTATATAGTGCTGCGACCCGAACGGAATCCACACTGCTCTTCCGCCACGTTAGGTTCCACAACCTGAATGACGAGGCGGTTGAGCAGGATTCGGGCAATCACCTTGCCCACACAACTCAGCAAGTTGCTGCCACGATAATTCGTGTAACATTACTTGCTCCCTTTGCCCTTGTACAGTGGTAGCACAAGGGCACCCTTCAGCTCAGGAGGCACCTCCTCCTCAATCCATATGCGTTGCACCAACGAGTGCAGCGCATTCACTAACGCGGGTCCGCCGTGTTTCAATACCTCAGGCGGGATTCCGTCGGCCCCGGCCCACTTGCCGTTTGGCAGCTGAGCAAGTGCTCTCTGCGTCTCATCCAGTGTCGGCGTGTCCGCCAGACTCGCCTTCACATCGTGCTGCTTGAGGCCGTTCAATGTAGGTCACTCGATCTCTGAACGGTTGTTCAAGAGACAGTCAAAGTGTTTCCGCCAGATCTGCATTATGTCTGCAGTCTGTGTGCAGGTAGCGCCTGAACTACCATCGATCAGTGTTCTCAGCGGCTCCAATCTCGGTCCATACACCGCCTTCAAAGAGTCAAAGAATTCCTTGTGTTTGCGGCGTTCGGCCTCGGATTCCATCTGCTTCGCCTTCTCCGTCCACCATGCATTTTTAATGCGAAGGAGCTCTCTGGTCAGTCTCTGTCGTAGTTTGCGCAACTGACTCTTCTTCCCCAAGTCACTGGGGTCTGCCACATGTGTGGCAAATGTTGCATTCTTCTCCGACACCAATGCGGCAATCGTCGCATTGTTCTCATCAAACCAATCAGGCCGCTTACAGTTTGCGCGCCCGATGGTCTCCTCGGCAGCAGCTGTCACCTGGTCGCGAATGTGGTGCCACAGATCGCCCACTGTGGCTATGCAGTCCACATCACACAGGCGTGCAGCCATTGCCTTCTCCAGCTCAGTACGTTTCGCCACAGTACCGAGGGAGAGAATGTTAAATTTACGCCGGTTCACGGCAGGAGTGCAATACATAGATTTACGAAAATATATGTACAGTTTGGTCCACACCAATTTGTGATCGCTGCCACACTCAGCTCCACGCAGTACACTTGTCATGCGCACTTCACGCATATGACGCTGACGTACGATGACATAGTCGAACAGGTGAGCGTGACCATTCCTTGGGTGCGTCCAAGTTGCTATATCAATCGCACTCAGTGCAAACCGAATGTTCGTGATCGCCAGGTCGTGAGTGGCACACAGTGAGAGCAGCCTGTCACCGTTCGCATTCGCTGAACCAATGCCATGTGGACCGATAATATCTGCCTACACTGATGCATCACGCCCAACGCGCGCGTTGAAATCACCCAGAAGAAATAGCCGGTCGCTCCTCGGCACAGACCGTATCACGGAGGATAGCTCAGTGTAAAATTGATCACGCGTGTCATCAGGATAACACATGGTTGAACCGTACGTGCTTATAAAGGTGGCAAACTTACCTCTTCCGAGTCGTGGGCGAACAGTCATCAGTCGCGCGCTGATGCCTGTTGGTTCACCCACCAGCTGGCCACGGAGGCGATCAGATATTGCAAATCCGACCCCATGTTCACTTGGTGCTGAGGCGGGGTTGCCCACCCAGTGGAATGTGTAGTCAGCACCTGCTTCATGCAACTTACCTTGCTCAGCGAGCCGAGTTTCACTGAGCGCCGCAACATCGATGTTGTAGCGTGCCCGTTCCATCGCGACCAGTGCAGTGCGTCTCTCCGGGCGCTCGCTGGAGTTCCGGTTCAGTAGTGTGCGCACGTTCCAGCACCCGATGCTGAGTGCATTGCGCGCAGGCCTTTGATTGCATTGGTGGGCAACGGCACGCGAAGTGGTCGTTGTGCTTCGGAGGTTTGTTTGAGGGACTCCACGCAGAGCTTTTGGCTCAATATGCTGACCTTCTAGGCATTGGGTGGTTTGGAGTTTTGCTTGAGGAACTCCGCCCGGAGCCTTTGGCTCAAGAGCCTGACTCATAAGGCAGTGGGTGATTTGGAGGTTTGCTTGAGGGCTCCGCCCGAAGAGAATAAAAGTTCCATCGACATTCTACCTGACTGTATTGCGTGGCTAACTTGAACTGGTGGCCTCTCAAATTTGTTGTGTGGCTCAGTTGTAGTAGGTGACAGCAGACGTGGTTGGGGTTCCTTAGAATCTGGTAGGCCTTAAGAAGGTCGCCACGTAGGCGCCGGCCACTGTATAATTCTAGGTCCTCAGTCTTAGTTGATAAGGAAGATTGAACAACCCTTCGACATGCTTCGTGTTTCGTCGCTGTAGAGTTTAGAGCGCCCGGGCTTCAATGTCCCCGGGCTGCCACACCTGGACTGCGTAATCCAAATGAAACCGCATGTAGGCGTTAAACAACTGCGAACAGACAGAGGGATCAAACCGTCCAGATGCCCTCCGCAGCATGCCAACGTGTTGGTTCCCGGTCTTTGATCCGGTCTTTGTACCCCGCCTTGGGATTCTGCCAATTGCTGTTAATGGCAATGTGATACCAAGTTGCGTTTACAGTTGTGGGTTCCAGCCGTAACTCCAGCGCAGATTAGCTTAGGTTTTGAGCAACGCATTTAGTGTACGTAGTACACATGTTTCCCACAGTAAGTTTGAGTGGCTAGCAGGTACAGGTCGCGCATGACTCAAATGCTCGCAAAATATGAGTACGCTCTGACGTTAGACTTTATAGTTGCAACCTACCATGAATCCTAGGTTGTCTAACAAGGTTATAATAAATATGGTCGATGTTTTTGGACGGAGTGTGGGCCGGTTACAACATAAATGTAGCTCCCATGCGCATACCGCCCGATATGTCTTCGGGTTTATAACGAGTGTGACTGTTTGTAATTGTTGCGGGCACGTCAAATATTCCCGCAAAAACGCGCCAGAAACCCCAGCAGAATGGCTGTGGAAAGCGAGGGCCAATTCCTCCCCACAACGCAGCAGAGCTCAGCCACTCCGAGACGCGGCCCAAACTGCGCACCTTCTGACAATGGTCATTTACAAACTACCACCTCTTCGTGGTGACAGTTTTCCTTAACTTAATAACCCATAACACTCTCTGTGATCGCCCTTTGTCGGTCGTAAAAGAGCCTACAGAGGACCACTTGTCTTTTCTTTCTCTTCGCCTCAGTTGGGAGTCGGTCAGATCGCGTGATTGCGTGTGCATCGTTAGCTGGCCAGCCTTCGCGTCTAAGCCATTAGAGCGCGTCTATCGTAAACCCCCCTCTCGTCTGCGTCCGTCCGAGGCTCGGCGTCTATCCGAACACGTGCGGCTAGGATCGTTGGCAAGCTCGCTCAATTATCCGCCTCACCGGCTAAGCCAGCGTCATCAGGACAGCGCAATTCCGTTCGAGTGGTCAGCGTAGCCAGCAATTATCGTAGGCGTGCCAGCGACCCTCTTATCAGGCAATTACGCAATTATCTCAAGAGGCGGCGTTCCCTCAATTATAACAGCGGCGACGACTAAGGCAATCTACTCAATCTATAACAGTAATACATTCCACACAGCTTGTAGTTGTCTGCGTCTATGTGATGAATATCACCAGCCAAGCGGTATCGTCGCCAGCTCGACGGAGATATAAGTCTTAACGTCATACAAAAAGCATTACCCGTCTCCTAATAATAGTGACAGATGTTCTCGGGTTTGTATAATGGGTAATTATGCCTCCAGGATATAAGTGGAAGTAACGCGGTAGCGATTGCATCAAAAAACTATCGACGGAAGGTGTGTAGTTATTAATAGTATAAAATGTCAGATCTAGAAGAGACGCTCAAAATAAGACCAAGGAGTGGCCTGTTTGTGCATTCGATGGCGACCTTCGCCTGATGAGTAGAGCATCGGTCAGGCGTACACTCTGAAATGCTAAACTATTGTGTCCACTCCTGCTGTAGGTAAACTAACCTTGAAGTAATCGAGTCAGCTTTGAATCCCGGTATGGAATGTGAGTGCATTTACTGTCAACAAGAGCAGATATTACGTTGCCAAGAGTAGAAAGACTCAAATTGATCTTCGTTGCCTCCTTGAGACGATCGCCCTGTGAAGATGGATATTGTGAAATGCTCACATGGTAACGATTATTGTATAGAAGCACTTAAAACCGTTGATCTTGCATAGTGGAAAAGGATGTAAGAAACTTTACCAGCTTGTACGTTTTTATGAATATTTAGTTTTGGTAGAATAGCGAGATAACGATTAAACGTTAAAATTACAAATAAAAGCCGATAAAGCAACTGCAACTCAATCCTGTTAGTTATGTTCACACTCCAGTCGAAATGATTGTCGAGGAAGTGATATTTCCCTCCGTGTGTCCCGTGCCTGGAATGCGCTTCCGACTTACATTATCCTTGCTTCTACATTAACACTATTCAAAAAACGCTTTTTAACATTCATTACTTAACATAGTCCGTTCCACTTGAAGGACAAAATAACGAAAACCAAACTATAGACTTAACGGCTCTCACCGCAACCTGGCGGTGAGGATACATGCAGTAGTGTCCATGTGAGTATTCTGGATGTATCTAAACGGCATCAACATACCACATCTGTCAAATAAAGCAACACGAGTGAGCGTTGTCGTTTCCATTTTTCTTCCTCACACATGTGTTGAACTACAACGGCCCATTGTAATATTTTTGTGTGTACATGTCATTCCCACTTCAAACTATCGTTATGCAGTAGTGCATTTGAATCGGTAGACGATTAAAATAACAATTTACTTATTCGATGATACTTCCAATTTTAATGTTTACTCCAGCCAGCCTACAAGACTTGTCAAGAAATGCTTTTTATCCGTGCTAAATCATTGTTTAGTGTCCAATAATCATAACCTGTGTTATATTCTACGTACACTCACAAGCGATTGAGAGTTAAATAACCTTAGTCCTGTGAAACTGTAAATGTCTTCTCCGAAGCCACTAGAAATAACCCTAAAAAAGCCATCGTTTCTTGAAATCTACTGGTAAATAGTACAAAGTTGAATTGACCCGTGTTATTTGTTTACTTGTTGCATGAGATATATGCGGCGAGGCCTGTAAATCGGCTGTTGAATTTTCACTGAACATCATTTTTACTTTCTCTACTACAAATATATAAGTTCTGAAAGAATATTTTGACATCCTTTTGTCCGACGTACGTACAAGGTCAACAAGAGCATATTACTCTCCACATTTTTAATATTAAATCATGATACCAAGCAAATTGCGTGATTTGTTGCTCTTGGCCCCAAAGTTTTAGTTCAGTTGGAAGCAATTATGAAGAGATTTATTCCTAAAACACTACTCACTCTGACTAAACTAACCTAAGGGTCCGGTTTATTAATTTGCGATTGGTGTCCACGAATGAAGGTCTTTTTACTCCAGCGACACCACTGCATTCCCCCTTTTTGTTGTAGTGACATGGAACTTTCTCTCGCTTGATCGTGTAAATCAATATGAAATATTATAAATTATGGTTTTCTTATGCATTAGGAAATAAGGCGGTTTGCTTGTCGGAACAATGTTCCCTCTTGGTTAAAACACAAACATTCACGTCCGTCCTTGAGTCCTAAGACATTGGGCTACAAACTGTCTTGACTCGCGATCGGCGCTCTCGACGCGAAGCCACATCTTCCCTAGCTGGTTACCTCTTGGTGCATTAGCTGGATTTTCTCCCGTTCAATAAACCGTTCCTCTCATTTAATTTTGTGTATTCTGTCTAACATTTTGAACTGGAATTCTAGTCTCGTAGCAGATACATAGCGCACGATACATTGCGCTATACGCTTTGTCCAGTTACAAACTATGAAAATTTTATGGTCATTTTGCTTCATTCGCAGTTGATACTAGTAAGTGCTGAAAATGCACCCATCCGGGCACACTACGCTTACTTTACCTTGATTTGAATAATGGCCTAATACCTTATCACGATAACAACCAAATGTCAAAGCGACCCTGCGTCAAGAGGCATCTTGATAACCCAGTATTTAAGCCCATTTGTACTTGCGGCGCTGAGCACAAAAGTGATAGACGTAAACCTGATGATGGTTTCGAGTTGAGAGAAACTAACTTGCGTACCATCCGGTAGACAGGAGTAGGGCTGTGGATTACAACTTTTTGTGACTTCTGTAGTCGCAGATGTGAGTATGCTGATAGCTCTGCTTTGGAATATGCTGGGTTAGAAACAACACTGACCTAAGGCTAGCATCACTTAAAAATGTAAACACTAATTAAATCTCGGGGTATTAGCGGTAAAAGTTATTTGATGAAGGCGAATATTAACAAAATGAAGTAAGGGTAAAGTAAACAATGAAAGGCTAACTTTAAAATATTAGAAACCATAACGTTAGGCAGTTTATACAGGTGCCTCTAAATATTACAAGCCAATTTGCTGTGCTTTCTTGTTGCTGGGTAGTTCCGTAACGTAGAAGAGACTGATGTAACATATAACGTAACTAGACGTCACAAAATGCAGCTAGATAAAAGTGTGACCGGAGAAAGATAGTACAGATTATCATAGGATTACATACTGTGGGAAGCTACCGGAATAATAGGTTGTTAATGGCAGTAGACCTGATCGGTTGATATCTCGTTTCGTGCAGTCCAAAGGAACTAGGTAGAACATGGTAATTTGATGTAAAATCAGCATATAAATATAGGATTAGTTACGGTACTTCTCGTTTTGCGCTAATTAGTTTTTAACTCGGTCAGCCTCGGTTAAAGAATAAAGTAGATTGCTTCAAGTAATCCTCATTTTACTGTCTGGGTCCCCAAAATCAAACGTAAACTTTTTAGCTAACATTTCATATAACTATTGAATCTATGAAATACAGCAGGAAAGCATATTGTCGAGTTCAATGGAATGAGTGAAACTTCTTAAAGTATTTCTGAATAGACAGCCTCAAGCTATCACCAGTTCCGTAGACAAATAAGTTGAAAAGAATCTGTTAGATATACCAGTTTGTGTGCAATTTCGATTTAAATGAAATCGTTCCCTGATAACTCCGGATCACAGCCAAAAGCAGGAGTCAACATCTGAAGGCAAAAGCGTGTTGCAAAAGTAGCTTCCGAAACGGAGATAAGTAGTGGAATATCACTGGATATTTATAAGTCGATTCAGGAATGTTCACATATCAAGCCAAATAAGTCAGCTGCTCTGACTGGTAGATCAGTCCCGCTAAGTAATGGTAAGACAGGTACGCGCGTCGTGTGGATGCAAACTTTCCTAAAACTATTTGATGCTGTTGTTGTATATCGTTGGCTCAAGACGTTTTCCTTTTGAAATAATGTGTTTTGCTGAGACAGTTTACTCGCCAGGACATACATAGGGTGAGAGGTTATATGTTAAAAAGGAGCCGGTCAACTGGGTTATAGCTTTCATCTAGACGTATATTACATGAACTAAAATCTCTAAATTGACGGCTCCTCATTCTATGCAACAAACTAACACTGAGGGATGACGTGCGGAACAATAGTTTATCAGTAGCCTCTGTTAGATCAGCTTCCAATCTTTCATAGTCCTAATGCAACTGTTCCAACACGATTATTATATTTTAACAAGGAAGGAGTGAAAAACGAGGATATGCTTAGAGGGTAATGTAAACTGTGTTTATCACTGTAGCTGTTAAGCAAAACTTGTTTAGTGCTCAATAATGAAGAGACTGAAAATAGCACGCGCCAATAACAATGATTGGGCCTGGCAACCTGGAGCAATGTAATACATTGCAATGGTTTAAGGGCGGCTAAATCAGAAACGATATTTTGGGGTATTAAATAGAAGTACACAAAATTGCACTTTTACAGCAAAGTGAAAGGCTACGTAAAGATTCGGTACCGCCTTATAATGTATAATCTTTTCCGTTACTTCATGGATCAAATACGAGGAATCCAATGTGCTAGGCAATGAGATTAGCAAAGTTGGGGAAACGGATCACAGTAACCTTGGAAAAGCTAGAGTAGAACTATAATAGACAGAATGCAAAAAATTCGAGATACCCAGCACAGAGTTAAACTTACCTCAGACAGAGTTTTTGATTGACGTTCGCTACCAGCCAGATCAACTAAATTGAGCTTTCCAACTCTGATGTGATTTTCACCATCGGAGCCCAACTATGCAATATTTATGCACCAAAGGACATGTGGCCAACCTTGCAGCACTCGATGGTGACGATGAAAATTGCATGGGATCGGGAACTGTGCTCATTCATATTGGTAGCACTTACAAAAAATTAACTTTTATTATAAACCATCATAGGCACCTACCCCACTGCTCGGTTCTGATAGCCGATGTTCATAATCTTTTGGATTTCGCCTATATTTTTGGTAAGCACAGATGACAAGTCCTGAAATGACCAAAGAAACATACCTCATGAAAATGCTGGTAAATATGGTGATAAATGCTTCGTCTTACTTAGTAGGATAACGTCACCTTAATGAGCATTGACATATACCACCAAAACGATCCACTTAAAAAAATAGTATGGATAAAATTAGAGAACGGAATGCAATCTTAAAAATGCACGCGATGAACAAAGCGATAATGCGAGGGTTATGACAAGAAGAGAGGTGCAGACAAGGTTACTATTTAACGGACATTTGTTCAGACTTAGAAACAAGACAGGTACAATCATGAAAGGTTCATATCCGACCAAAGCAAAACAAGGTAACTGGAACTTTGGTTAGTCTCCTAAGCACCTCGATTCCTAGATGCTACACTATCGAGGTCATAATGACATTAAATTTTGGTAGATTCTTTGCAGATAAACACTAAGCTTGCGCCGCGCTGTAGATACCTACTTCTCTTGAAAGTGCGGTTAACTTAATTCCCAAAACAGTAGTGGCTAGGTTGTGAAACGCTTGCAACCTGTTACAATGGCCAAATTTGATGCTGCATAACCTGAGGGATAAAAAGCGCCATCTCTGGGAAACTAATGGACAAATTTCATTAAAAGGTTCACCATCTTTAATCAAAGAATGGTACGTGTACCAAACATCAATGTCAAATTATTCAAATTAAAAAAATTAAATTTCCTTAAAATTACGGGACAAATGCAGAAACATGGTGGCTAGTAAATGTGTAGCATACCGCTTCAGCGAATTCCCAACTAGCAAAAACTAGATAAGCTAAAATACCACGCCCTGGAACACGGTTTTAAACAGACTTGAGTGCATATCGCGGTCATCTTCGGTCAGTCGTGCAAAATGATAAAACATAGAGGATGTAATAACAGCTTTTGCCGTAGCTAAGAAAGAAAGGAGAACAATGGGATAACAAAGTGGCAGGTACCTTTAGTTTCACACAGACACATGAAATGGGATACTCAGGAAGACCTGTATTGTCAGAGTAGGCTGATCTAAACGGACTTGGAGTAAAAGCCAAGTAGGGATATTGTGTTTCGTGTCGAAGACAATGTTCAGGAAAAGATTTGGGCCAGCTTCTAGTGTTTCATGTTTGAAAGCTATGACAAAACGCATACTGTAACACTTACAAATGTTAGTGCAAGACTGTTGTACGATTTGTGGGACATATAAATACCGGTTTAGAACCAGGCACGCAAATGAGAGCCGCGTAACATAAAACCAAACGCGGGACACAGCGGACTATATCCGAGGAGGCCATAATGAGACGCAACATGGTGATGCAGACAAAAGCAAATATCAGTAAAATAACTCAGCAGACGGATATTAAACCGGATGTAGACAAATATGGCCGTCGCATGGGGAGAGCAAAACAAGAGCAAAGGCTTTAGTGATACGCCGGTACGATGCGGCAACATTTTGCTGCCACGCAAACGCCATAGTTGCGCGTAAACTAAGGATACTGCGTGGGTCGCCAGTGACCAATGGGTTGTCATCCCGCCTACCGGGTCAAAGAGAAGCAAATAGGGTTTAATCTAAAAAACAGACGTGTGCATGAAGGACAAAAAGCACCTTATGGAACGCTGCAGTCTTCTTAGCTGGCTGCGGAACGAAAGTTTCTGATACACCAGTGATGTACGTCGAGGTTCATTCAGCAAACTCACGTCGTGTGTAAATGAATGGGAATATTTAATGATGAAGAGGGGTTCTGTGGTTTGTACCTTAAAATTTAATTTCGTTCGGGTTGGTGTGTATCATGGCGAGTCATTGAAGTGAGCTTATTGGAAAGCAAAATCGTTGGTTGCGTAACCTAAAACATTTTCGTCAACTGAGACTATATATAGTTGTGGGACTACTTTTCAAACGATAGCTCTGAAAAACATCGATAAGAACAGGTTAAAAAGTTCAAAAAGTTATTCTCAATCAAGTTCAGATTTAATGAGACACAACTAACCTTAACATATATCCCACCGTCCGGTTTCTCTCTAATTTCCAAACGTTTTGCTTGGTCCCGATGCAGAAGGTCACGAATCTCCTCCTTGTATATTTCGAGGTAGCTCGCTCGAACCAAATATTGTGCATCTTTCGACCGTGAAATATGATGAAAAATGTGAGCGAATGAGTTCGGCATCAATCCTCTAAGTTCTGGATTATCCTCGATACCTAAAATAGTTTCAAATTTCTTCGTATTCTACCCTGAATTGTAAATGTTTTGCCAGTGCCCGTTTGTCCATATGCAAAGATTGTTCCATTAAATCCTTCAAGTACACTATCAATCAGGCCACGAAAAGTTTCGCCATACAAATCTTGCTGCGTTGAACTACAACGATGTTATACCACTATGCTCTACTTTTCATCGTAAACAGCGTCAAATGTAAATCTACGAGGTGGTTCTTCGCCACGCTTTCTAGGGTTATGTAGCTCTATTGTGCCGTTCTTAGCATCAATATTAACGCACCTAGTTGCGTAGTTTTAGCATTGTGACTTACAACTGATGACCATCGGCTGTTTCCCGTTCGTTCATTGGTCGACAACGGACAACAACTTTCACGGATTCCGACTTTTCGCATATAGACTGTAACTCAGTAATTTCCTTGTAATAGAAAAAGATACCATTTTGCTTCTCTGTAGTCTTTCAAACGGGGATCCTAACGATGCAGAAAATGATGACAGTGTGAAGAGCGGAATTTATGGAAGGACTGCGAGTAATACTGAAGGACAATTCCATGGTTTGCTTAGTAAAAAATACGTATGTATCAGCAACCTGTTAGTAATCTAATCAGCATTACTGGCTACGTCTTATACCTGTGTAATGCAAAGAAAAGCGCAGTTATGTCGTACATGCAAATAGCTTCTGTAAACGCAAAATTAAAAAGTGCTCCGTCATTAGCAATAATGTATGAGAGTGTGGAACGTGTGGTTGTGACAAACTTATTTCAACAAGTGAATGGAGAATTTAGTAAAACATTCTTTTAACTACTGCGTGCAGAAGACGTTAAGATACTACTATGAATATATATATCCTTGCGTCTGTCCATTTAAAACAGGTACGCGACTTTAAATGAAAATGCTGCGGCTTACATCTTTTGTTATAAATAACTTCTGTAAGAATTCAGCAAAACCAAAGACCATTTAAGCTACACCGAGCGATCACACGCCATCCAGGTAACCAAAAACCAACTTTTAAATTCATTCATCGTTTTACCATGGTAGGTACTAAATGTCGCTTGCTTAAACAATTAACAAGAATAATCTGAAACTACTACTTTGCCATGGTTGAGATAAGTAAGAACGCACTATTACTCGTAGTACTAAAGCAACGATACACATATGAAGTGCCTTTCCATGCTAAATCGCCGTTCAACATTTTGCTGTGGTAATTTAGAAAGTCAAAGATGGACGATTGAGCTGTATGAAGTTGAGCTGTATGAAGCTTATAATGTAAGTTAACAGTATATGTAAAGTTCTATTTAGCTTTATATCAGGTAGTCGCGGTAACTTGAACCTATGGTATTATTTTCTGTGCTATCCAAAGTTTCGTTTGTGATAAAAACGCGTTTGATTTGTTGGGTTGCTTCTGTGATACTATTCCATAAGCTCCGGAAGCGCCGTGTCAACTCACGACAGGGTAGAAGTTGGAGGCGACTAAAAGTAAGTCGTAGTGTGCAGGGTACAAAAATTGTAAGAGAATCAAACAGAGCGAGAAGCCTTTCAGCAAGGTACGCACAAAAGGGATTTGTGTCAACGGAAGTGCCGTCAGTAAAACAGGTGGACGTTTTGTGTCTAAAGCAACGGTAAAATCTAATGTTGCAAAGTGCTGGAAGAACGTGTTTTATACTGCACTACAAGAGGCATCGCACTAGAACGCTGATGGATGCAGGCCTTCGATGGAGCTGTAAGTTGGGGACAACAGGAGGTGAGGTTTACAGGGAATTGTTGCATGGGCTTGAACAAGGGCTTCCAAGATGGAGTGTGTAGCAATGTTTGCTGGATCCAGGCTTTTGTTTTTCACTTTTGATGATCGTGTGTACTAAAATGCATCAGCGGTGGGTTGTTGGGGCGTTTGGTCGGACTGCAAAAAACTGGCTAGTCCAGAAATAAGGCCGACAACACATACTCTCCGATGCAGACCCGACGTTGTGCTTGGAAGTTCTCACTACGCGCACCATACCCCATTTCACCTTCCTCGTTGTACTAGGAAATCCGGAGTCCTCTTCAGAGACGCCTAGCCGGACTTTTGGGGACCACCCATTTGGCGGCTCCCTGCGGCCGAGGGCGACTGACTGGTCCTTGGGTCAGAAAAGAGGGCTTAAGCCGGCGGGCGAGTCATTTAGGTGTTGCGCCTGACCAATTGGCGGGTCCTTCAGCGGTTGTCTTGACAGTTCCGACGTTTGCGATTCTGGAAGGTAGAACTCAAACGGGATGGGCAAGGGTCTGGTTAGTGGCTGGTCGTCGGAAAGGGAACATGGCATGTACGATAAAGGTAAATACGATTCTTAACGTTTCAACCGGTTTTGGCTTTTTATGGTCCACTTGCAAAACGTTTGTGCATGAGAAGCATGCTTATAGAGGAAAATGGCGTGTTACTGGAAATAGCAAACCTTTACACAAGTTGAAAAACCGGCCGGTCGTTTGCCTTGTCTACCGAGCCGGTCAGTTTGGTGAAGCTGATGTAGGGTAGGCTGCGATCCAAGAAGAACGGAGGGTTTCGACATATCCAGTGCCCGGGAAGTCACCACAGGTGCATGTACTTGTGTGGTAGCAAAAAGATGTGTTGCAGGTGGTTCCTTAAAGAAAGGCACTTTGATGCGGTCCATGAACACCGTCGTCCGGTGACCATTCTAGGCTAACATGAATCGTTTCGAAGTCTTTTGCAGGGCACTGAAAGGGCCAATGTAGGTAGGCTGGAGAGGGCGCCGCACTGCTTCGGTGCGGAGGAAGACGTGAGTGTAGGCATAGAGCCTGCTGTGCATTTGCAAACCTGTAGTCTGCGCACGGGGCGGAGTCGGGCGTATTGAACGTATGCGTTGAGCTTCGGAGGACCCCAAGTTAGACGAAGGCGACCCGACGATGCAGGGCACGAAACGAATTCACCCGGCCAGTTAATCGTTGCGCTGTAAACCAGCGTTGCTTGTACAAATTGCAAGTCAGTCTTGGTACTTGCGAATTGTACCCGCACCAGCTAGAGTCGGAGAGGTGCGGTGCTTGGTTTTTAGCTGTCAATGGAAGCATTCAAGTAAATCTTTGGCTGCTTGGTGCTAGACTGTGGTATGAATACGGCGATTGCCGAAAAGTTTCAGAACTTACCCATTCGCGAAGATTCAAAAGGTATTCAAAAGTTAGGTGTACTGGTGGATGCGCATCAATAGTGCGGAACCCACCGGTCTAAGACAGCCCGGATCACAGTCTCATCTATGCAGTCTGTTACGGGAATGACTTTTGACCATGTGGTGAACCGGTCGGCACATGTAAGAACCTATACGAAGCCGCATGACGGAGGCAGGTGACCTACCAGGTCTATGTGGAACTGCGAAAACCGAGAGTCCGGGGAAGGAACTGAACTAGGAGGACTGCGGGTGTGCCGATGTGTTTTGGAGCGCTGGCATTGAAGGCAATCGCGAGCCTAGGTACAAACTGCTTTGTTTACGCGTGGCCAAACGAAACGTTCGGTGACCAGTTTCAAAGGTGCACTGATACCTGGATGTGATAGTGGGTGCAGTGCTGCAGACGATGTGCGCCCGAAGGAGACAGGCACTAGGGGTTTATAACAACCTGTGGTTTCTCCCGTTGGTTGGAGAGGAAGAGGTTGTATATACCGCGAGGTGGATTGCACAGTGCGTTGTATGTCTTCCACTTGAGCCTTAGCCAATGCCATGGCGGCAAGATCGATGGGAGGCAAAAACTGGAGAGTGATTTTGACGCTTGAGAGAACGTCGGCGACGGGATTGTAGACACTTGAGCCAGGACATGCATCAGCAGTGAACTGATTGTCAATGTCTAGGTGTCTTATTTCTCGTGGGGAATTTTTGTTGCAAGCGGATTTGGAGGCGATGCTGAGGGGTTGGTGCTCGATATAGCCAGTGAAAGGGCGGCCTTCGAGAGTGTTCCGGAAGTGTGGAACGATTAGATAATTAGAGTGCATTTCTCTGCCAAACGTGCTGCCCTGGGCTTCTACTGACAGCAGACGTTTAAGGAAGAACCCTAACGGTTGACACGGGGTGTCGATGTAAGGCTCCTAACGCGACGTCTGAAGCATCAGCCATGATAGTAAAAGGTGTTGTTGCTTCGGGATTAGCGAGGAAGCCTAAGTTGGAGACAGCATCTTGAGCTCATTGAAGGTTGTCTCTGCTGTGTTAGCGAAAGAGTCCTTACGTTCATTTCCGATGAGTAAGTCATTCAGTGGCTGCATAACCTGCGAGCGGCTCGGAATGAAGCGTCGATAGCCGTTGACCAAATCAAAAAATCGACGGAGATGCTTGAAGGACGACAGTGATGGGAAGTCCCTATTTGCCTGAACTTATCAGGAAGGACTTCGATACAAGACGATGTAACCAGGTGGCCTAGGAATTCTACCGTTGAGTTGCCAAGCTAAATAAATAAATAAATACTTTATTCTCGACTATGCGAGGCACACCCATGTAGGCAAATAGTCGTATTGCCTGTGGAACCGCGTTGGGTCAGGCACTGGAAGAGTGTTCGAAGGCGGTCGAGGTGCCCTTTTCCAATGAACTGGCTACTAAAATACCATCGAACTAGGAATAAGGGACGTCTAGGCCACGAGTGACATCGTGGATGAGGCGTTGGTAGGTTTGCGAGCTGTTGCACAGGCCGAATGGCCTGCATAACATTGCAAAAATTCCGAAAGGAGCGAAAACGTTTATTTCTGAAGGGCAAAGTTCTTCTACAGGTATCTCTTGATGGGTGCAAGCGCAATCGATCTTTCTGAAGATCGTCTTACCTGTGAGGCACGCGATCAAGTCTTGCATGTGTGGGATGGAATACCAATCTAGCACGGTCAGCCGATTAAATGCACGGTACTCACCGCAAGTGCGTAAGTCACTACGTTTCTTGGGGACCAGCAACAGGGGAGAGGGCCAGGAGCTGTAGGAGGGGCGCATATTTCCAAGTTCAAGCATGTGTCGAAACTCCGCTAGAGCTCCTTTTAGTTTCACAGGCGATACTCGGAGTGGACGATGTGCGACGGGAGGGCCATTCGTCCGTAGTTGGTGGGTGACTTGGGATGTCACGGGTTGAGCTGCATTCATTGGTGGAACGAGCTTGGAATCCTGGGAAAAGTGGTTGGCGTATACTAGTGAGGTCTGGGGAAAGGCGGAGACCGGTGTTGTAGATGAGATATCGGCTGTGACGCCACGTACACTGTGTTTCGTTGCAGGATCGACTATCGTCTGGCGTTTCGCATCGAATACGAGGTCGAAATATTTGAGAACCTCGATGAAGATAATGGCAACGGGGACTGAAGCGACGGCGAACTCCCAGCGGAATGTACCACGAAGGCATATATCTAAGATAAGCGACCGATTACTGTAGGTAGTTATTATTGTACAATTGGACGCGCTTAGCCTTTTCTACAAAGAGGCGGTAGCCTCACCTCGCCTAGGGGGAATGAAGCTGACTTCTGTTCTGGTATCAACTAAAAACTGGGTCTCTGAATCATAAGACCTAATGTAGATGAGCCA